TCAGACTATTAATGTCCCCACTGGGGCACAGGCCTTCCCTATGGATGGAATAGGGAGATTGGGCCATGACCCAGTTCGTTCGCGTTCCCAGTGCGGATTGGTGGGTGCTAACGACTGCAGATGCAGCCGAGACCAACGGCTTAACGTGCCTTCCGAAGCACGGAGGAACTCGAGATAGTAAATTTTTGGTCACCCATCCAATAACCGACCACTGCGAAAGTTAACCTTAACTTCAACGATCGCTGCCGAACGCGCTAACCATTTGCGCCAACGAGCTCCTCAATTATTATTCATACTCAATGTTATTTAAAAAATCCGGGCAAAGTCCGGCTATAGTCTTTAAATCCGGACACTATCCGTACCTCAAAAGGAATAAACGGAACCGTTATAGGATCACCTTGTTGTCCGTCTGTCTAGTAGCAGCTAGTGAGTTAGAACAACATACTCAGCTCTACGGTCCTGTGAAGCTGTAAAAAAATCTAATTTCTAAGTTAACTTAAAAAAAAGATACGGTCGTTTAAGATGCGTACCTCAACAAATTTGTGCGGAACCCTCAGTGGGTGTGTCCGATCCGCACTTGTTTGGTTTTTTCTGAAAGTCAGTAAAAAGAAATTTGTACCGTACAATGATTTCCATGACTCAGCAACGGAAGTAGATTCAACCTCCCCCCCCCCTGTAATAAGGTTGGATAAATAGTCAGTGTTAGCAGCATTAGTTGACACTATTCATCGCATCTATAATTGGTCAGTGCATTCGCCCGGATTGCGAAGGGTGCGGGTTCGAGTCCCGTCTGCTGCCTGGTCCGCGTGGAATTTTTTCTAGTTATATTTTCTTTAGATTTAAACATCAAGCAGTTACATGCTTTAAAAATAATAAAAATTATAACTATTCATCGAATTACAAATGCCATTTGAATTATATGAAAAAAAACGCCAAGTAATTCCAAGTAGATTGTTTGTTTTGATAAGGAGGACCACGCTATTGAATGCTTTTTCCGTCTGGAATATTTTTTCTTCTAACTGTTATTAAAAATCTTGCTATTTGATTATCATATATTTTTTTCGACTTTGACGAGGTGTGGAATAGAAATTGGGTTCAGACTGGCAGGTTCAGTGCATTTTTCTGCCGCATCAGCTTCCTTAAGACCGGACTGTACTCATACTTAATATTGAATTATTTAAAATTGCCACCAGCACTACTTCCGATACGCTAAAATTCTTAAATCTTAAACGTGCCAATTTTTTTCCATAAAATATGACTAGATTTTTTTTATTTTACAACAAAGAAGAAAAAGAGTTTATGCAATGCTCCTATGTCCAATCATTAATATTTTTTGATTAAATAGCTATAGCTAATACATAATTGCGTATCCTTTATGTATCTTAAAATATCAGATTCTACCCTTTCATGTCATCAGAAAATTTATTAAGTAAGTACTTTTTATATTATATGTAAAATAAGAATTGCAAGGCTGTGAGTACGCAACCACACTTTTCATCTTTGATACTAATTGTATAAAAATAGAGAGAGAATAGGGTTCAAACATGATTTTGTTTGAAAATCGGAGTAACTTTCGAGAATATGTTCAGCTTAATCTATTATTACTTAGCCGGGTTACTGCAAAATAGCCTTAGAATTCTACTTTAAAGCTTACTGCACCCTCGGATGAAATTTTCAAAGTAATCCAAGCCGTTTTAAAGCTGCAAAACGGCTCCAAAAGATAGTTTGCATAAATAGAAAATAACAATTAAATCTAAGAAGGAACGGGTGGTTTGCTTTTAAGGACCCCTACGATTTTTAAGTGCACCAACTTTAAGTTAGTTTAAGAGTTTCAACATCTCTATAGCTATTTTCTATTGGTTTTTGTATTTACATAATAATAACTTCTATTTCCATTTCTTTAATTTAAAATTTTCGATACTTTTAGTTCCAAGTTATTGAATCTTTGTAGTGTTTATATCTATTTATAAAGTTTAAACGATTAAAGAAAAGCTCATTTCTATACGAAATTGATATTAAAATACTTACTTCAATGAACGCAGCTTAAAGTAAATAGTTTATAGCATTAGCTTCTGAAAATAAAATTAATTTAATGAGTTTTCTTTGAAACTGTAGTACAAAATCAAACTCTTTCGAGTCCTTTTCATTTCGAAAGTATATCTTGTATAGGTACTTAAAAAGTTATTGCAACTTTAAAAATATATACTTAGTTTTGTAGGCCAGTGCACATAACATCAAAAATGTTTTGATATTCTGTCAGAACAAAGGGTGAAAGCGAATAGTCACCAAGAATTTTAATCCAAGATTTTGATATAGTTTGTTTGTTTCCGTTGTCATCTATATAATCCATCTGAATCCGTCTATCTTTATTACAATCCGGTTACGCTTTTACTTAGTTCACTGATCTCATGTTTAATAATCACCGGAAAAGTGTCAAGAGTTCAATAGGTTCTAAATATCTGATGACTAGAACTTCTTAAGTATGGCGCAGTGGTTGGTTTGTTCATTTCTAATCGTAGAAGTTAGTTCTAAAGTTCTATTGGCAATAAAATAAAAACAGGTTACATTAATATACATTTAAAAAGTTGAAAATTGAAGTATTTTTGTATGAATTAGTTTTAACTTTTAACTTTATTTTATGTTCACTACTTCTAACAGCACCTATTAAGGTTGTTAAGGTTAGCCCTAGGAACTTTCATACGGACAGACTGATATACAGTTTACAGTACGACCATGCTGCTGCATAAGTGGTGAATTGAGGTTTACTAAGTACGTTAAATCTCCGCACTAAAGGGAACGTTATAATTGAATGATCAAACGAACTTACCTAAGTGAAGTTCGATCTGAATTGTCCTGTTATCGCCGAAGAGATTTATTTTTCTTTACTATGTATTACCCTCAGTGCGACCAGAAAGAGGAATAGGATAGATATAAGGCTTATTTATACCTTCTTAAAATTATTTCCGTTTCGGCCACGCGGGTAAAACTGTACTTCCAGGGCCCAAGAGGTGATACTTGATTTTTTTTTTGTTGAAAAGGTTTCTTTTATTTTTGGAACGAAGTTCCTTACGGCAGGCTTGGAGGGGATAGGGATTTTGCTGCGCGTCCGAACTGAAAAAAATGTGATAGTAAAACCGTAAGAAAAAATCCGTGGAAAAAAGTGCGTGGAATAAAACCGTCAAATGAGACGTGCGCAGGCGCGACGAAGTTCCTTACGGCAGGAGAGAGAGCGACGAGGGTGCATCACTGAAATATTGTGATATTACACCAACACTGAATATGTGTAAAGTTATAGGGAGTGGTAGAGCGACGAGGGTGCATCACTGAAATATTGTGATACTACACCAACAGTGAATATGTGTGAAGTTATAGGGGGTGGTAGAGCGACAAGGGTGCATCACTGAAATATTGTGATATTACACCAAGACTGAATATGTGTGAAGTTATAGGGGGTGGTAGAGCGACAATGGTGCATCACTGAAATATTGTGATATTACACCAAAATTGAATATGTGTGAAGTTATAGGGGGTGGTAGAACGACGAGGGTGCATCACTGAAATATTGTGATACTACACCAACAGTGAATATGTGTGAAGTTATATCAAGCTGTGGACCAGTAACGCCTGTGAGACATGATTATGATTACAAGGTGAGTACTTATCAGGAGGTGGCAGAGCGACGGGGGTGCATCACTGGATTATTGTGACATTGTAGTTTATTCTAAACTGTGGGTCAGTCCTGCCTAGCAGCCTTTACGAACGCTAGCGGAACATGATAATAAGGTGCGTATGTAGGGGGTGGTACAGCTACGTGGGTACAGCACTGGAATATTGTGACATTACACGAAATCTGGATATTTGTGACGTTATACCGAGCTGTGGACCAGGAACGCCTGTCTTCTGCTGTAAACTTAAGCTAGACATGATAACAAGGTCAGTACTTAACAGGCGGTGACAGAGCGACGGGGGTGCAACTTCAAATTATTGTGGCATTATACCAACACTGGATTATTGTCGTATATTATACTAAACTGTAGTTAAGTCCAGGGGGGTGGCAGAGCGACGAGGCTGCATTACTGGATTATTGTGACATTGTAGTTTATTATAAACTGTGGGCCAGAGAAACCAAAATGTAAATATTCATAATAAGAAAAAATATGTAATAGAATTATAAAGATAACAGATAAAAAAAAGAAGCACAAAAAAAGAAAACAAAAGACTGGTAAAACAAAACAGAATATAAAGACCTGTAACAAAACGGGGATTAATAAGAAAAAAAAAACTGTGAGCCAGTCCTGCCTAGCAATCTTTACGAACACTAGCTGACTGAACTGAAAAAAATGTGATAGTAAAACCGTAAGAAAAAATCCGTGGAAAAAAGTGCGTGGAATAAAATCGTTAAATGAGACGTGCGCAGGCGCGTCGAAGTTCCTTACGGCAGGCTTGGAGGGGATAGGGATTTTGCTGCGCCACCGAACTGAAAAAAATGTGATAGTAAAACCGTAAGAAAAAATCCGTGGAAAAAAGTGCGTGGATTAAAACCGTTAAAAGAGACGTGCGCAGGCGCGACAGTCGCATACACAAGCGAGTTTGCAATTTGTGTCGATTCTACATTAGCCGAAGGAACTTCGTTCCTACCTGGTGTCCCACGACACCACATCATTTTTTTTTATTTTTCTGGGGCTTCGCCAGCCATGCTCGCTTCGCTCGCTCGACTCGCACGTTTGGTCACAACACTAATCTAACCTAACCTAGTATGAAGTATCACCACTTGGGCCCTGGAAGTACAGTTTAGCCTCCACGCGCCTCAAAATATTGGTCGCACTGTATTTGACTAACAGTCTATCTCAATAAGCGGTAGGCATACTCGAGCTTTGTTGCTAACATATGTTTAATATGGACTCTAGCCATTAGTTATAGAGTTTCGATATTCTATGAGTACTCATGAGGAAAAACAAATGTCAGTGTTCTATCAATAATCACATTTTGTTATTCCACAGTTTTCCGATAACAATTCTACGGTCAGCATTTTGACGTTTGTACCGATGGCCGAAGATCACGACCGCCTCCTGGTCTGTCGGGCTGAGAATCCTCGAGTGCCTGACGCAGTGCTTGAAGACAAATGGAGACTGAATGTACACTGTGAGTTTAATTATAACTAGGCTAATGACGAACGAACATAAACTTTCGCTAGTAGGTTTTATTAGAGCAGAGTGTGATTATTAAAAAAATACTAATTAGTGTATGAACAGCAAGGTGAGCTTTGACGCCCATATTAATCAACGAGGAATAAAGGACATCGACGAAATCGGCCCTAGCATGCCCAAAAGAATGTCCTTCACTATTATCTTTCTATTATTTTTTTAACATATTAGCAATTAATCATAGTAAACGGACAATCTGTTTCAAAAAATAAAAAAATAAAGTTCTGTTACTAGATACTACAGTCTATTCATCCAACTTGGCACTCCTTTTTATTGAAAAAACAGCATTAAAAATCAACTGATAACTGGATTCAAAAGGTTTCAGTCTATAATAACGATTTATTTTAATAGTTTATTGGCTTCGTTAATATTTTATTATTAAATGGGTGATTCTGTTAAAAAGTTGTGCCAAGATTGTTTACCTTAATAAATGCATTAGAGGCGACCATAGGTATTTATCAAAAGAAAAACAGAGATACCTTAGTTAATAATACTTATTACTAGTATTATATTTATAAAAAGATTATTTCTGAAATTATGTAAAGATAGTTTATACTCCCATCCCATATAATATCTGTTTATTTTTATGAAAATCATAATGATAACCAGGTACATACCTAATTACCGATAGTAAAATATAGAAACAGGTAAATGGAAAGACTGAACATTTCATTTGAAAAGAAATCTATTATTACTACAGGTAAGGTATAGGTATCGTAGGTGCCAACTGACAACACTCATTAATCAATATGAATATAAGCATTTAATATTTTTATTATTAATTGCATTTTATGTTCATTTAATGTATATTATTTAAGTGCTTGCATAGAGGTAAACACTAAATCTATTCAGAATATATAAAGTGTACATCTTTTACGATTAAGTATAATAATTATAACCTCAAAATCAACTACATTCTGTAGTAGGCCACGGTTCCTCAAGTTGTCCGTATCTCAACAAATGCCTATATAGAGTTTATGAATGATTCCGAACATAACTAGCATTTTCTCATTGCTGGGCGTTCTAGGGCATTCAATGTATGGGGAACGAGCAATGTCCTTTTAGACTATCGCTGTGCACTTTGTGCATATCACTCAAATGTCATTTGTAAATCAATGAACAGAAATTAAACACGGTGTAAATAATCCAAGCTTATTCTTCATTATTAATAATAATGATTGCAATAAAGTGAAATCTATGGGACTTTCTACAGAAGCCATGTTTTTCATTAATAATAAATGTATGAGCTCAATTTGATAAGCCTTAATAGATATTTTATCAGTATACTGATCCGATCATAATCTTGTTAATATCTAAAGAGTGCATAAGAACGTACAGATGATTGATTAAAACAAATTATGAGGCGTCTACTTTTATGTTCCACAATCAATACAAATACATATTATTTGTTGACGTTAATTAAGAAACGTGCTGGTATTGTAATGAGTATAGACACACTTTATTTATTGATCTGAAGCCTGGGGCCTAACCACAAGTACTTAGTAATGTAATTTATCCCAATATTTTATTTTTTCTAAAATGAATCTACCTTATTCAGTTGAGATAAAGTTGCATTTTAATAATATAAAATCAAAAGCATGGATAGCAATGTTGTTATCTGCGCTTGCTGTAAAGCCTCCGAATGTGATAATGTAGGTGGGCAGTGCAATGATAATACCGTCATCTGCATACAAAGTTGAGGAGAAAATAATATTACCTAGTGTTAAGGTTTATTAAAATTATGTCAATGTTAAGGTTTTTCTACGAAATTTGCAGAATTAAATATTTAACACAATTTCAATTATATTATTTGAACACAATGGGTAAAATTAATAGGGTAAAGCCACAATGCTTACCCCGTATAATGTGTCTGAATCTAGCCACGATCAAATTTACAGCTGCCGAGTGAAATTCGCGTAATAGTACGGTTTCGACATACAAGTATTTGAGTACATTGCACGTAGGAACTTGTGATATTTGTACCTTCCAAAAATAATTGTAACATACTTGTATTTTAAAGTATTTATTTAGTAAATAATAAAATTTTCAAAGAATTGTTTATCTATAAAGCGACACCAAATAAGATACTGTTTATTTTTTCATTTGTTTAAAGGAGATTGCTCAGCTTCCATACATGTTTGGCCTAAAGACCAATAATCATGAAAAATTGTTTACTAGATTCGAAATTATATATAAATTACTGTAGAAACGAATATTATTGACGGACACCCCTGAGAACTTCTATAAACCATATACACTGAATGATTTTGAGGTTATATTTGCAAATAGGTACATAGGTATTAAAATAATAAAAAACAAATAAGTTATATAGTAAACTAGGGAAATCAAGTCAAGTACCGAAATTACGTATTAGATTCAGGTATATAGAGCAGGTAGATTAACAGATAGTTGCCTGTTTATAAAGTTAATGCAGAAGAGTAACTTTTAAAATCAGATATCATCTATGCATTTCCGGTTATAATAAGGTACTCTGTGACAGAAACTGTGTGATGATTGTGAATGAGCCACAGATTAGAGATCATTTTTAAACTCTCGTTAATTTAGATAGTTAATCTTCATTATTTTTGTTATGTTTATATTCTAACCATAGTTTAGATTTTTAGTGTATCACAACTTATAATGTGTTATGGACGTGTTTGGCGAAAAATGTATGGCAATAGACTTTATGATGTCGCTTACCATCTATAATAATTGTCTTAGTACATAAAAAAATGTTTATTTTATAGATCTTTACAAAATAGATTTGATTTTATGTTATATAAACAACTTCGATCAGTCTATGACTGAATGTTACTACACCCACAGCCATTCAAAATGATTCGTATGCTTTCCAAACCGGTAAAATTAAAAGTCCTTTTTAAAATGAATATATTATACAAAGGTGTCCGTTAAAATCTGATGACTGTAAAATAAAGTATAAATTACGCCAAGAATTACCGTATATGTCAATATTTTTTGTACATTTGGGCTAATTTGAGCAATCTCCTTTATGAAACAGCTTTTTTTCATTGGCAGATGTTCCGATCGTAACCTTGAAATTGGGGACAAGTCTTAATCCAAATTTCATCAAAGAAGGAGACGACGTATATTTCGAATGTAACGTCCAGGCCAACCCGAAATCTTATCGGCTTACCTGGTATAAAGGGGTGAGTAAAGGGTACTTTTCTTTCGTTATTATCAATGAAATGTTATTTGTGTGCACTTAACCCTATAAGCCATTCACTAGTAAGTAATGTACTCGTGTTTGGTCGCGGTCACATCCTTTTATTATACATAGTTCTTGTGTGATTCTTCTCATGCTGGAATGTAAGCAGTGACTGAGAGAAAAAACCTGGTACAGTACCAGCTGATAAAACGAAGTGTTTGCAATAGCTGATAAAGACTATTGGCCTAAGAACTATATCATGCCAGAAGTATTAGCATCATAGACCCAACTAATGTCGAATGTGGGATGTAAATGTGTGGCTATGGGAGTGATATTCTAATAACAAGCTTCTTAAATATCCTGCCATATATGGAAGGGATATTATAATAATGTAAATGTATGCAATAATTCACCACTGGAGTCCATAGAAGTAATAAATTTATCTATCGTATCCTGTTTTCCATCATTAATGAGTGGAAGATATGAATTTTGGAAAGTGAAACTTCTTTTCGGACGGTGTGTAAATGGAAAAATCCTATGGAATTTTAGGCTCAACTGTACTTCCAGGGCCCAAGTGGTGATACTTCACACTAGGTTAGGTTAGGTTAGTGTTGTGACCATAACGCGCGAGCCGAGTGCGTGTGTGTATGTGGGATGCGTGCGCAGATCTTTTCGACGAGCATGAAAGTTAGAGAGTAACTTGGCGAAGGTTGAAATGTTACGGGCGTCATGAGCGTCACTTGCGACAATATATATATATATAATGTCTCATATATATAAGTAATGCGTGCGCTGCTTCATTCCCCTATGCCTAATGTTAGGTTATTGAAGTAAAACTTATTTACTCACGCTTGACTTGGGGGGGGTAAGCTGGCGAATATGTTACGCGTTACGATAAGTGTGTTCGATCGAGGCGAACGGAAGTTGAGTGGTAGATATAAGCAAGAGAAAGCAGTGCGCGTGTACACTTTCTTTCTCTTTTAGCTAGTAAATGAAATATGTATATGAATATATTGTACACACACACATATATATATATATACAGATGGAGCTAAATAAATTTCACTTCAGATGTGCGTGCACAAAATGTTTTGATTTCTCTATAGACCAAGGAGATCCATCACAACGCTAGTGCGGGAATCATATTGAGTGACCAAAGCCTGGTGCTCCAGAGCGTGAGCAGGTTAGAGGCTGGCGACTACAGCTGCCATGCTTTCAACAGCGAAGGCAGTACCTCCAGCAATCCTGTTTCATTGCAGATAAGATGTAAGTTTTATAACGTTTCAGTTTATTTATAACAGTGACCTTTAAAATTTCAAGTACACGTAGCTCCATTAAGTTTTTCATTTGTTAGACTTTTATCCTTAGCTGTTCACAATACTTGTCTGTTTCTACTTTCTATTGTTTCTACTAATTGCTTATTTATGGAGTGAAGTTGAAGAGTATGTTTCCCTATCTCATATTTCCTGGATTTTCAGGAAGCCTTCAATGTTAGATTCATGGAACTGTCCATTATTGAACGAATAACTAATTGTAACCACCTCCAATTTCCGGAATACTCCGTTTTAAATGATACTAAAATGGACCTAAAACTAATAGGGAAAAATTTTAGTCGATGGACTAAAAATTTTGCCCATGGGCAAAACTCCAAACACGTCATGATGTCACGAACATTTCCTTCATTGTTCTATTCATTGCGCAAATCACATCTCCGATAACGATTACAGCAGTAATCTTTCACGTCTAATAATATTATTAAGAAAATAAGAAGTTTATTTCCAAGGATACGTTACGTATATTTAAGCAAAAATCTACCTTATTGTTTTGAAATGGTTGTAAAAATAAGCTAATTAGTTGGGACAGAAATTAAAGTGGCTGATTGTACATTGGATGTAAGGATTTCAGAGAGGAATTTGTATCCTATATATATATCTATTTCCAATTAACGGAGCCACAAGAGGTTGACGAAGTTTGATATTGCGTTGATGCAACTAAAATATTCCAAATGGATTATTATTGTAATTTAGGGGAACATTCCAAATATTCCTAGACACACTATAATAGTTTTGGATACCGTGAGGATTTTACTGGATACGTTGGGGAATTTACCAAAAACATTATTAGTGAATTCCTAATGTCCCCGAGGTTACTAAATTACTTTGATTTATTAAAAGAGCCAGATATGTGAGAATACTGCGCTGCGCTGTGGATTCGAATATTTGCATTCGTTAAAATTTGGCCCACGTATTAAATTGTTATCCAAAAATCTATCTGCCGATAAAGATGGGTTCCTCAATAACCATGTTGATTGAAATATCGAATTGTTTAGTATTTATTTGCCATCTTGCCATATAACAAAGTACATCTGAGAATGTGTCCAGAGAAATATTCATTGTTACTTGTATTTATTAATTTACATTGTAATATTCCAATTATTCCCTAACATTTTGGAATTTTCTTGGTCATTTTCTGAAGATTATCTAAATTTATAGCAAGCAAGCAAGTCCGTAATAAATAATTCACGGGAATATTTCCAAAATATTCCCAGTAAACTCGCAAGAAACTCGAGATTGCCATATCATTTTGCCGAGTGGCATATACGCCGGGTTTCATGGCGTCGTCTACTCGAGAGGTCCCGGTTTCGAATCCCGATGGGGACGAATGTTAGTATAATGCATACGAGCATTTGTAACTCATTCGTGGATGTTTATATATATTTTTAGATACAATATACTAATGTATGTATCAGTATCAGCACATCCCATAACACAAGCCTTGCAGTGCTTACTTTGGGGCCAGGCTAATTGGTGTGATTAAAAAAAGAAAATTATTATTTATAATTAGATGCTCCAATGTGTGACATCATGAACGACACCGCGGTATACGGAGCGTTGAAGCATGAAACGGTGCAACTGCGCTGCGCCGTGGACTCGAGTCCACCGCCGACGAGCTTCAATTGGATATTCAACAGTTCCGGGGAGCAGACTCAAATACCGGTCAAGTAGGTTTCATTATCATCGTCATCAGCATATTTTTGTTTGTTTAATTATTTGTATACAGGCATCGTAGGCCCATAGACATATTTACCTTAAAGTAATATCATAAATATGAAATATAAAGCATCATTAAAAATTATAAATAACACGTTTAGTCGGCGACGTGTGGCGCGGAGTGGTGTCAGGTAGCCAGCCTTTGACGCGCCGGAACACCGCACCTTTCGGCCAAAGCTTTCCACTTTCAAAAAAGTCGCCAGATGTACAGTCAGCACTCTCATCAACAATGAATTACCTCGCGTCTTTAGGGAGAAATTAGTCTTCGTACGCAAGTATTTTGCGATCTCCTCCGACTTCGTATAATGCAAGCGGGTCACGTACAGCAGCTTCACAGGTATCGCTGAAAGCAGCACGTTATTCGGTCCGATCGGGGTGACACTGCACAGATTGCGACGAGCGGGTTTCCTCTTCTTCCTTTCCACCGTGATGAAACCCTCATCGTCACAATTACGGTTTCGTGATTCCACCAGAGTTGCACAAGGGATGTCTTGGCTACCCTTCTTCATTGGATGAGTGGATTTCCACTCAGCTTGTGTGATAGCGACGGGTCGGCTGGCGGCTGTTAATGTCGCCGCTGCTAGGGCATAGGCCTTCCATATGGATGAAAATAGGGAGACTGGGCCGTGACCCAACACGCGCGCCCAGTGCGGATTGGTGGGTGCTAACGACTGCAGATTCAGCCAGGACCAACGGCTTAACGTGCCTTCCGAAGCACGGAAGAGATCGAGAAAATGAATTTTTGGTCACCAATCCAATGTCCGACAGTTGCGAAAGTTATTTAACTTTCATGATCGCAGGCCGAATGCACTAAACACCTGCGCCATCGAGTACCTCCCTTTCAAGAAGGTTTATGTAGAAATAATATCGAGTGTTTTATGACAAAAAGTGTACATAATCATAATCTTTTTTTATCCATATGCATAATATATAGACATAGGCATATCTTTATGCATAATATATAGACATAGGCATAATATATAATATTGACGACCTCCGTGGCCGAATGGTTTGTACGCCGGGTTTCATGGTGTCGCCTGCTCGAGAGGTCCCGGGTTCGAATCCCGGTGGGGGCAGGTGATGAATACGAGCATTTGTACTCCAGTCATGGATGTTTAGTAGTTCTATATAAATATACTTATATATGTATCAGTATATGTATTGCATTCGTTACTCTAGTATTTCATAACACAAGCCTACAGTGCTTACTTTAGGGCTAGGCTACCAATTAGCCTAGCCCTAAAGTAAGCACTGTAGTTGTGTGAGTGTTGGAAAAAATTATTGATTATTATTAATATATCTCCTGTATGTAACTGAACTACTTATTTCGTTCCCCAAACTGTATCTAGCTTCTTGCTATATGAGCGTTAGTCTGCCGTGATTACCTTTTAGTACAGAGTAGTATAGAGGCAAACACAAATACCTACATGTTTAATTATATCCGTCCAAGTATTCTCATTACTACTGTCATGTGTATGCCGATCACATGAATGCCATACTATTTAAAAGTTATCTACGAACACGATACTTACTTCATTTTAGGCCAAACACAGCTTTTATTGGAGCACTGAGCAAAATTAAAAGAGTCAACACGAACAATAGGTTTTAAATTGGTTCCCTACGCGAACCCTGACTATCTAGCTCTCCTATCTTAATTAAAAGACACTTATCGTGTTCCATAGATGATATTAAATATATTTTTAGCTTGTTCACAACATCTGGATTCACATCAACTCTTCGCTTCACCCCGACGTCTGATATGGACTTTGGGACAGTGCTATGTATCGCGAGCAATTTTGTGGGAAAACAAGAGGTCCCCTGCCTTTATAAGCTTGTGGCTGCTGGTAAGTGACAATTATCTTTTACTTCTCAAAACTTGACAAATTGTACCTTTTGACTGGGTCATACGATACTTTTTGGCAGTTGGATTTATCCATCAAGTTTTTTACCAGTTTGTAACGACTATGTCGTATTCAACCGGCATAAAAAAAAACTCTGAAATATTGATTAAAAACACGTATCTGTAGGTACATAATTCACATTAATGTAATGGTAAATAAAAGTATAATATTAAATTCAGGAAACAGGTATTTAAATATGATAAGAAATTAAGAAAAAAATATTATCGCCTTTATCTGAAATTTTAATCACCCTTTTGGTTTATTAGTGTTTCTTTTGTTAATCTTATAAATATTTGCACGTACACAAGTTTCAAAGGAAACACAACTAATGTTAATATCTAATAAAATATGCCAAGCAACAACAACTTCAACAACTTCAAATGTCTTAAATTCTTTACTTCGAAAACATTTCAAATATCTAGATATTTCTCATAATATTTATAAGTACCTAATACGTAAATGAGTGAAATTGAATCAAAACATCGTATTACAACAGAAGCGTTAGCTATTTGGACAATCAAAATAGTATCGTAACTTTCGCACTGTGCATTGTGAAATCATTAACATTAAATTTTAGGTTAGCAAAGTTCCATTGTTCAGTTCGGAAACTCGTAAACTGTTGTTTGACCCATTAGCTTTACAATATACGATAACAAATACACATACATATTTAGGGTATCGGTTCTTGTGTTATTGTTCCCTACCATTAGTAGTTTGAAACTCTTTACTGTTTGATTTAAAGTTCTTATTTTAAATTGAAGTTACCTACTTCTTGCGGCAAATGACAATATTGAAATGTATTCGTATAATCAAATACAATTGGCATACAACACACATGCGGTATTGTTAAGGAATCAGTTGTAAGTTTTGTATGATACTAATAAGATACTAAGATACTAATAAGAATATTTTATATTATATATCATATCTTCATAAAATTCCGGTACAATAATCTCAGTAAGATTGTATTCGTTACCTCTGAAAAAGCCGTCGAGCTCTTCCTAATTAGCAATATCAATGTTTACTTTATTGCTGATCGTTATAGAATCTTATACCTAAAAAAATGTTTGTCCAGGACACCCTATGCCGTTACAGAATTGTACGGTATTGAACCACAGCGCTGCTGGGCTGCATGTCACATGCGAACCCGGTTTTGATGGTGGCTTGCCCCAAAAATTCTTCCTCGAAGTCTACGAGCTGCCTACTTCGGTCGTAAGTTGTATCTCTATCTGATAATATTAGTTTTAGCTTGGCCGCCCTGCTATTTATTTGCAACTCACATATATTATTTGTAACCATTGTCCCTTATGACGTAGGTACCGGTTGTTTTCATAAAGATTTGTTATATTTAATTAGCATCCAAAGACTCATTTGAATTATCAACACTCAACATTTAAATGAAATAATGTGATGAAAACCAATAGTTAAAACGAAATATGTAAAATTGGTGCATTCGGCGAAAAAAATCGCAATCTCATAAATAGTGATGAAACGTACTGGACTAACTAAGTGAGATTTTCATTTTAATATTTCCATCAGATACGGGCAAACTTATCATCGAATGAAATGCCTACTTTTGAGGTGCCAGGCCTAGACACCCGCCGCAGTTATTCACTCATCGTATACGCAGCGAATGCAAAGGGAAGAAGCGAAATTATCTCATTGTACTCAGTCGCATTAAGGTCACCAGATAAATATACAGGTGAGTTCTGTAGATCGTAGTAACAGGTACAAACTTACATTGTTCCGTCTACTTCAGAATTCGGCTTACATAAGCTCGAAAATTACCGCTTTGTTCAAAATCCATCTGAATTATATTTGGATTGTAAGCAATGCTTTGTCATTGTCTACAATCTATTGTACTAAACGTGTTTCGTATCAGCTGTTAAAATTTCTATGCCACAACTGTGTTATATGCTTAGGCCCACTTGGACCAAAGTATTTTTAATCTTGAAAATCTTATCACGTTTAAGCTTTATTCTATTTCTTTTTAACTTCGAATAATTGACTAAGATGAAATGATGATGATGAAAAAAAATGTCTTGAACGGGGTTGAGCCTTAATTTGTTTCAATAATCTGGGTACAATTGACCCTTATTTTTATATCGTGTTTATCTTCTTTTTCATTGTTTAGTGTAGAATTAACTACTCAGCTCTCATCTTTCAAGATGACGTACTTTACATTTAGGCTGAGCAAGTTAAAATCTTATTAAAGTTTGGTGCATACCAGTATGATATTAAGGAGTAATCTAAATATTTAAGAACGATTTTGAAACCTCAGAATTTGGTCATAAATTTCTTGTTCAATTTTCATCCTGTGATTTAGTTCTTTGATAACTCATAGCTCGTAGCGAGTGCGATAAAAAAAGTGGTTCCACTGTTGACTCCGTTTATTGTCTTACCTAAATTGGTAGATAAATTTTCCGTGAACACCACACGTTTAACATAAATTCGGTCGTGGGTCAGTTGGCAACCTTTTTTTTTGCTGAATCTTACAAGTATTTGTAGCAAAATTTGGCTTCAGCCCAAACCGTGGCTGTTGCCACTGTCCCTTTGTTTTTTAAAGAGGATAATAAGCCAGCATTTTGGCTATTTGTAATCTAAATGTATTACGACCTTTACATGTTCATTACATTCCACAGTCAATAAATCTTCTAGGCAGGCGTCATCATCGCTTTCCATAAGACGTGATTGTGGTCAAACGCATTCCCTATTATGCATAAGAAAAAAACAGAAAATTAATAAATTACAAATTTTGTTTTATGCGTAATATTTTTTTTTGTGTCAACTATTATATAATAGATTACACTTTTCCAGAGTGTAATCTATTATATAACATAAGCACAGGAACCGTGGTTTATTATTTTTTTAAGATACGACTAATATTTTTCTCGGTAACAGAAAATAGTAGTAAGGCTGTCAAAGTCGTGTCCATTTTTGCTCTATCGAAGCGATATTTCGCTGTCAGTAAATTTTGATCTTTACTCTCAATAGTGAGGACAAGATTCTCCGTTCGTGATAAATAGACTATGTTGTCAGGATCCCGAATAACTGAAGGAATAAAGAAATGAAACGACAACAACGAATCAGGACTTGTGTCAAGATCGAACATTTCCTTCATTGTTCTATTCATTGCGCAAATCACATCTCCGATAACGATTACAACAATAATCTTTCACGTCAAATATGATTGTTCAGAAAATAAAAAGTTTGTTTCCAGGGATACGTACATTTAAGCAAAAATCTACCTTATTATTTCGAAATGATTGTAAGAAAATAAGTTCACGGTGGGTCAAGAATCAAATTGGCTGATTTGCCATATTGATTGAACACCTTATGCAGCACTATGATTTCTTAAGCTGTTTTTTTTAAGTTTCTTGCAGAAGCTTCTGCAATTTAATACCATCGAGTAGTATATATTTAATGGAATCCGGACATAAGCTTTATCAGTGCAACATGTTGTTCAACGACACAGCGTAGTTCCATTTCTTCAATCATGTGGTACTTGGTAGTACTTAGTAGTAGTGTTGTGCTAGTCAGAAATCAGAAATCAGAAATCAATATATCTTTATTCAAATTGGATGTATAGTACAACTCTTTTGAATCGTCCAAAAATTTTTTTTCCCTACCACTCGTTATGGACATATTTTTTAGCTGCGGAGAAAAACGAGCGAAAAAAACTCCACAACATTAAAAGTCTAATGTAACAACACAAAAAATTTACAAATTTAATTACAAATCATTATGTTGTTACAACGTCAATACAATTATGATTTATTTAATATAGAAAACCTGTTGGAATGATTGGAACAGTTCAAACCCAAGCATTTTTGTCTGTAATATAATCAGACACTTTGTAATAAGCTTTTTTAATAAGTGTTTTTTTTATAATATCTTTAAATTTATTTATGGCTAACTCTTGGATATTGCTTGGGACTTTATTGTATAAGCGAACACAAAGACCTTTAAATGAATTATTAATTTTGTGAAGCCTAGTAGCAGGTAAAGTTAGTTTATTTTTGTTTCTTGTATTAATTGTGTGAACATCACTGTTTTTAAGAAACAAATTAATATTTTTTCTTACAAGTAATAAATTTTCGTATATGTATTGTGATGCGACCGTCATTATTCCAAATTCTTTAAACTTATCTCTTAATGATTCTTTAACTTTAAGATTATAAATTGATCGAATAGCTCTCTTCTGCAGCACAAAAATAGTTTGAATGTCGGCGGCATTTCCCCACAATAAAATTCCGTACGACATTACACTATGGAAATAACTAAAGTACACTAATCTGGCCGTATCTACATCCGTTAACTGGCGTATCTTCATTACGGCATATGCTGCAGAGCTAAGTCTATTTGACAATTTATCAATATGTGGGCCCCATTGAAGCTTAGAATCTAAAGTTATCCCTAAGAATACTGTGGTGTCTACAAGGCCCACATTCCTATCCTTTACATCCACACTGGTTTTTACCTGTTTTACATTAGGTAATACAAATTTCATACATTTCGTTTTTCCTTCATTAAGTAATAAATTGTTAACATTGAACCAGTGGACTACCTTAGAGATACAATTGTTCACGTCGTCAATAACTTTTTCATTGCGTTTGAGTTTAAATAAAAGTGATGTATCATCCGCAAACAATACTATCTCATGGTTATCTCTTACATAGTAAGGTAAGTCATTAATATAAATTAAAAATAAGAAAGGACCTAGGATTGAGCCCTGCGGAACACCTAACTAACTTCTCAAATTAGTTAGGTGTTCCGCAGGAGTACTTTACTAACTTCTCAAATCATTATATAAATCCACTTGTACAAATGAATTCGTTTTGCCGATGCCTCGTCGCAGAAATACTAGCGTGTACTCATTAAAAGTAATCTTTTTACTTATCTTTTTTGTCAAATTTTAAATATCTATGTGTTGTATTAGTAACTAGACTTTAATCATTATTCATCAAAATTTAATCATCATATGAATTGTTAAGGAACAATACACTGCGTAGCTATTCCAAAGTGTGTCAACTCGGAAAGGGATCGTCACCTTCATTGTTCTATTCATTGCGCAAATCATTTCTCCGATAACGCTTACAACAATAAATATTCAAATATGATTGTTCAGAAAATAAAAAGTTTGTTTCCAGGGATACGTACATTTAAGCAAAAATCTACCTTATTGTTTTGAAATAATTGTAAGAAAATAAGTTTATGGTGGGTCAAGAATCAAATTGGCTGATTTGCCACATTAATTGAACACCTTATGTCACCATATCAACTCGATTCGTTTAGTATTCTTTGTATGACTCTACTGCAATGCACACTAATCGGTATAGTAATGTAACGGCTCGCCTCGGGACACGAGCTTGTCCGACGAGGGGTGACGATCCTTTTCCGAGTTCATATGTCTACTGCGACCTCAAGAGTGTGAGAATTGTCCTGTTCTTATTTTTTATTGTTACGTGTCTGCAGTAAATAAGGTTTCTAGAAATCCATGGGAAGGGAATTTGGGTCAGGGCAGGCAAAAATACGGTTCCGCAAGTATCTAAATACATGTTTATGGTGGCTGCTTACCATCACACGGGCCACAAAGCTTGTTCGTAACTCTTTTCAACCAACTTTAAATTAAAAGGAGGAGGTTCTCAATTCGACTGTTTTTTTATGTTTGTTACCTCAAAATTTTTGATTGGGTGCACTGATATTGATAATTCTTTATTTGATAGCTGGTACTTCCCGTGTGGCCCCACTTCAATATGGTCCAGTCCTGACAATGGCTTCCATGAGAAAACCATATAAGTCTTAAATTTGAATTAAGTATATGCGTGACAAATGGACGAATAACTCAATATCACGCTAACCGATTTTGATGATTTTTCTTTGTTTGGAAGAATTTGTCAGCGAGATGGTACCATATTAATTTGGTGAAGATGTGAAAAATACTCCTACACTACTACCACTACCCTACCTACCGTCATTTGTTTATAGTTTTATAAGTAAAATAATCTACTTCCTAACATTAACCTAAAATATTAAAATCTTGATCGATACTAAATAAAAATGGATTAAGTAAAACAGAATGGATTTTCAATTGAAATAAAAAAAAATGTTCCAAAACTTCTGACTAATTTTAAAACTGCCGGCTACATAAGCTTTCATAAACGTACAAAATAAAGAGATTTACTAAATGGGGCATCGTTTGCAGAAACAGTCGTTGAAGGTGTTGTATCGGAAATCGTGTAATTTAAATATTTTATAATTTCGTAGTATCTTTGCATATTTTGTCAATCTCAAGTTTTATTATCGCTTTTAGTTTAAGTGGAGCACATTCGAAAATAAAAATATTAAGTTTATGACAACTAATCACTCGAAAATCCTGTTGTTCTCCTCCTCGGGCATTTTTATTTTACGCTTAAATATAGAAGTGTCTACGCGAATGTCGAGGACTCTCGATTGAGCTCGTTATTAAGGTTGTTTGTGAGTGATATCATGCCTCAAGATTATGAATTTCTATCGCAAGATTATGCACAAATGCATTATTTCTACGGGTACTCCCGTGGGAACACTTCACTTGCCGCAAGGATGTTTCGCAATTATTTACAACGCAGAGGAGGACGACAGTCCCAGATTTATCCAGATCATGCAATTTTACGAATACATCGAGCGTACGAGGAAGGCCGTAACCCGGCGAATACAAACAGA